TGTCTATTTTATTCGAAGGAACTTGAAACCTGCAATTCTCAGTGAATTATTCTCCGTCGGGAAAATCAGAGAATCCTCGGGGATTTTTCCACACTCTGAACCGACATTTTAATTGTACTTACTATTTGCGGTTGCTCGATGATTCAATACCAAGCAGTCGATATTGCAGTTTGTTAACGAGAAAAATAACAAACGCTTCCAGAAATTCGCTTTCACGGGTGCGAAGTATTACGTTATGATAGAAATTGATAACTATTATTTATTTATAATTGAAAGAAGGCTGTTTTATTGTCGCACAATCTTCCAGCGTTAGGCTTGTCAGTCAAAGCACATTAATAGGATAACCTTGGACCAACCCGGTATAGGGGCAACCCGGTATGCACCGAAGTATGCATGCCGACGTTGGTCTAGCTTGATAAATGAGGGATTGTCCCCGTTCGGATCTCCGCTCGTATCGTTAGAGCTACACGCTAGATGGCACAATTGATTCTTTACTAAACGGCTATACGGTGTTCAGCGAGTGACGTGTGATTTTTACCTCGAAAGAAAACGGCTCCGTGTTCGTTTCTTCCATTCTCCTTTAAAGTTATCAACGTCTCTCCTCCGGTGAATTCGTACAGTATTTTTTACTTTGAAACGTAATCGAGCCGATTTGAAGGTAAGTTTTGAGCTGTTACGATACACGTTACGCAATGCAATAGGTGGCGAACGATAGTAGCTCGGGACGAGTTAAACAATTTATGTAACGAGCTTTCTACGCCTGACACAGGCGTATCGGAAAGCAGCGGTGCAGACAGATGGCTGTGCGAATCTTTCGCTTCTCAAGCGATCGATCAATCATGATTACCCATAAAATATGCATTCAATTACGAGTGCGCGATCTCATGGTCGTATAAATATACTAAATGTCCTTATTACTTATGTCATTCGTTATTATATATCATTACTCGCGGAGAAATTTAATGTGCATTATTAAGAAGTTGCGTCAAGCGTAACGTGAGAAGAAAATTATCTCTGAATTATTTTGAATTGTCTTGCGGAGGATTCTCGATACATTCAATGTAACAGACACGTTAAAAATCCTTCTCGTGAATATCCAGACTCGCAAAATTTCTTGTACAGAGTTGGAGATTAATTCGTGAGACGATTGGCGAGTTGAAGGAGGAAAGGAGGACAGTGACGAGGTTTAAGCAGAGAACTCGAGCAGAGAGTATAGATTATTTAAAAACAATGTCGTTTATTTGAATCGCACAAGACATACACCGTATCTGCTATGTTTACAATTAGAGACCCCTGCGAGGAAAGCTCGGCCGAGCCTCCGCGAAACCCACGGCCGGATTTTACTCGGAGACGCCTGGGTTTTATTTCTCGTATTGCCTTAATGTCGATCCTCGGTTAAAAGTGTCTCAATGCCAGGTTTTCTTGTTGCAACCCGGTCACATACTGTCGCTAGAAACCGAGCTTCGGATTATTTACCCTGGATCAGAAGATTTCCTAAAAATCCAATTTCCCTGCTACGATATTTATCGTCTCCCGCGCATTTCTTTTCTCTCCCACATATCGACTCCGGTGGAATCTTTCTCTATCTCTTTCGCGTTCGTTCGCTTATGTATAATTATAGGAAATATTTCGTAGCTTTAAATTATGTCGACTGCCTAGATACTTCGCTCGACTATATAGTTCTTGACATTCGTTCTGGGATTATCTTTTACCATTTTTACGTGATTTACCCTGTGTAGAAACGTTAGAAACCGACCGGGGGGACACGACGGGACAGGATGATCTAGTTATAAATGCGTATCGGTCGATCGAAATAGCGAGGAGAGTATGCGTGACACCATAATTCGGGCAACGCGGGCAAACGCTGACGTACAGTGATCGGCCTGAATCCGCCGTGAGCCGCCGTGACGGTTTTCACGTTGGACCCTCGCATTACCCATTCATCGTGACTGCAGCGTTTACCGCGTCTCCTTAGCGCGAGGATATTCTTCCGCGTCGCATATATTCGTCGTCCTCGTCGTATCCCGCCGGTCCGATCGCCCGCCGCGAGATTTGCATGTGTGACTCTCCATTGTTTCGGTGAGGCAGGGAACTTGGTCCTATGTGGGTTGAATTCGAAAAGGGTAATAAACGTGTGTATCTGTACGTATGTATGCGTGTGTGTGTGTGTGTGTGTGTGCGTGTGAGAAGAAAAGGAGGAAGAACTCTTTTCGAAACCGAAGTACGCGTTGGACGTGCCGCAGGATTTTTATCTCGTCGATTATACACACACACACGCGCCCGCGCACAGTGCTCCGTCGAAGGGGGTTGCCCTCTCTTTCTCTCGCGTCTCCCTCGTGTCCACCCCTCGTTCGCGAGCCTCGTGGACGACGAAACACGTCGTTACGTGAGAAAAGGAAATCACCGCGCTGAATCTATTCTTCTTTTTTTTCTTTTTCTCGTCACGGTCGTTGAACAACTTTTCGACGCGTCTCTCTCTCTCTCTCTCTCTCTCTATCTGTCCTCTCTCTCTCTTTCTTTCTTTCTTTTTCTCCCTCTTTGTTTCCGGAACATCGCTACGGGCAGTGCCATTATTTACAATATATGTAGTCGTATAAACGCGGAGCCTGGCATGTACGTATTTCAGGAATCGATCTAACAAACTTTTAACTAGATAACGAGAGATTTTTTTTTATCTAGAGCCGTACACGTCTAACACCGAGAGAACTAGCTGATATGAGTTTCTTTATCGCCTTTAATGCTTTTTTCGTTCACACTCCCGCCATCGAACTCACGCAACACTCGCGCAACATTCATCCCCAGAACGAGAAGGATAACACGCACAACGAAATCGCAAAAAGGACACTCAATCGTCACACGCACTCCCTCCATCGTCTCTCTCTCTCTCTCTCTCTCTCTCTCTCGCGTCTCGCGGAGTTACTTCTCTCATTTTTTTTTACCTTATTGCCTACGCATATATATATCTCTCTCTCTTTAGGAACAGTTCCCTTCGAAAACGTTTACGTCGACGAGGCGTCGTTGAGGAAAACAAAAGGGAAAGGCTAGAAAGGAAAAAAAACTATTTTGCTACTTAAAAATGGAACGCAAAAAACTCGAAGGACGATCGTCGCGTCGCCCGCGAAAGCCTCAGTCTTGGGCGAGGACGAGGGAAAACGGAAATTCGCCATTCTTCCAGGTTGCGCCTCGGTACGGCCGCGGGACGACTTTCGCAGGATCAATGCTCGATGTCGATCCTGCGAAAACCGAGCGTGGCTCGATCGGCCGCGACGGCAATAAATATAATCAACGAACAAAGCGCGCTGATGGTAGTCTCGTCGTGACTACGAAGCGGCCGTCGAAGACGGGGAGGAATCGTCAAGATTGTGGAATTGCTTCCGGGATTGTCCTGGACCGAACTCGCTTCAATTTGAATCTCGCCCATGATTGTTCTTAACAAAACGTTCGTAATTCTTTCCCTTTTTCGGTATTTCTGAGAGGGCGATTCCCTCGCTTCGACGGACACGTCGTGCTACGCGCGCGCAATCAGCGGGCCATAAACGTAAACAACTTTGGCATTTTCTTAACCGTTAAAAACATCCGCGATAATAATTTAATATCGGTATAAAATAATGAAAGCGCCGCTTAAACTCACTGCAACCGTAATGATAATAGTGACAATCGTAGTAATATAATAATAATAATATATAATATAATAGAACACTAATAATGTGTGTAATAATAGTAATAATGAGACAATAATAATCATGTATTCCAAAACAATAATAATATTAATAATGATAATAAAGGCAATAATAAGAGCAATAATAATCTTATTAAAGATAATAAAAAGAAAGTCGCCTATAATAGATATAGTACATTGTACATAGGATCGAGCTAGAGGTTAGGTACCAGCTTCTTTCGTGTCTTATGTAAGTCAATTATTCCCAGTGNATATAACAGAATCTCGAATATCGATATTTTTAAATATATACATACACGGATCGGAAGGAAATCGATGAGTGGAAGGAAAGAAAAATGAAAAAAAAGAAAACAAGGAAAGAGGAGACGCTTCGGTCCTACCGATACCGTTAATACGAAGCGACATCGTATAATGTACAAAAAGATTCCGCTTCGATTTTTCCCTGTATAATTACATACACGGCGAGTTGCAGGTCTCCATAATATTTTATACATATATATTACGTTATACAATATGTATATATAATATATATATATCTATTATTAAATAAATAATCTTCAAATGCGATAATAAAGTCAATATGTCCGTTATCTTATTTATAATATTTATACTCTTCATATTTGCATTTTTATCTTCATATTTATATATGTATACATATATATATTTATATCTCTTCTCATCTGTATGTATATATATGCAGATTTATATTTATAGTGTCTTTTCCCGTTATATTTATAACTATTTATAGCGATATATAATTTAAATAGCTGTACTGAGACTCGCAAACTGGTAACCATTCGTTTTGTTCTCTAATGAGTTAAACACGAAGTTAGGACTTCTTGTCCATGTACCTTCTCTCTCTCTCTCTCTCTCTCTCTCTCCATGCTTTATCCTCGCGTCGCCTGAACGTCGTCTTCGCGTGTTCCGTCCAGTCTTCGCGCGAGGATCGTCTCTTCCTCGAGCGAGACGAAAGCCCAACTCGTTCAAGTGGATCTTCCGTCTCTCGTCGTTCCTCACAACTCGTCGAACCTCCGGACCGTTTCCAGGTCCTTGTCCGGGTCGGACGTCTCGAGATCGCGCATCGACCTACCACCTCTCCTAATCCCGAGAGGTGACCTCGGACATTTCGCGTCGAGAGATCCTGCTGAAGTCGCGCTGTCGGAGTAGCGCGCACGTCCCTGGCGAGATCAATCCGGCCTCGCGCGACTCAGAGAATCTCCCTTGTTCTCGAGGTCCCTGAGGAGGAAGATCCCCGTCTTTAGTACACCGGGTAAGGCGGCCTGTGCGGCCACAGCGGCGGGATCGGCGGTAGGCTTCCGTTCCAGGATCAAGTATCCTTGCTGCTGAGTGAGGAGTCCTCGTCCTTGATCACCGGATACGGTATGTCCAGCTTGGGACCCTGTTGCACCACCACCACGCACTTCCTCATGTGTTTCTCCAGCGTGCTCGGCACGGAAAACGGCATCTCGCAGAAGCGGCACTTGTACGTGTCCTTACCGTGCCGGCCGTGGGTCTTCATGTGCCTGGTCAGCTTGGAGCTCTGAGCGCACGCGTATGAGCAGAGCTCGCACTTGTACGGCTTCTCGCCGGTGTGCGATCGTCTGTGCACCGTCAAGTTCGAGCAGTTCTTGAAGACCTTGCCGCAATACTCGCAGGTGTCGTTCCGGCCGCTTCGCTCTTTCTTCAGCAGCGGACTCGGCAGACCCTGGAGTGCCAGGGTCGAGGTCGTGGCCTTGGACGCCTTGCGGAATTCGTTGTTCTCCAGATAATGCGGACTAGGTAGCCAAAGACCGCCGAAGTCCGGCCCGGAGGACCTGGGAAACCCCTGGCCGGAGAAGATGCTCGGTGTCGTGGAGGAGTTGAAATTCGTCGGCGAGAGCGCGCTCTCCTTCTCCTTGTTGTTGTTCAGTGAGTTCGTCAGGTTGCACGGCGACTCGGTCTTCAGGAAGCCGCTGCGGTGATTCTCCTGCAGGGCTTGCCGATAAGCCTCCGAATACTGAGCGATGTTGCTCAGTCCGAACTTCTCCATAAGATCACCCACCAGACTGGCTGGTTTCTCCAGCCGACCTCCGCTCTCCTCGCCGCTCTGCCCTTGAGTGGTGCTCAGATCCTCCGGCGTGTTCTCCTCCGCGTCCTCTCGTTCGTTCTTCTGCTCGTTCTCCTCGATTTCGTCCAGGTCCATGTTCTCGTCGCAGCTGGACCCGTCGTCCGGTACCGTCTCGACGCTGCCTTGCGGACTTGCGGCGGAGTTCAAGTGTTCCTGGTGCTCCTTCCTCATGTGTTTCCTCAACTCGGCGAAGCTGGCCACCTCGACTTCGCACACCTCGCACCTAGTCGGTGTGCCTTGGCCGTCTTGCGTGCTTTCCTGCTGTTGCTGCTGCTGTTGCTGCTGCTGCTGTTGCTGCTGCTGCTGTTGATACTGCCTCTCCTTGTCCCGATGACTCCGACGATGAACGATCAAGTTCGACTGGAAACGAAACTTCTTATCGCACACTTCGCATGTGTACACCGTTTCCGACGAGGAATCGGTGATGATCGGCGTGGAGGCCACTGGTGGACTGGTCTTCTCGCTGTCCGTCGAATTGTTGTTGTTGTGATGACCAACCGGACTCTGGCTGTAGCAGGGTGGTGAGTTCTCCTTCTGATGACTGCCGTGAGTCAGATTCGTAGGGTTAGTCGTGGCCGGGCTGGGAGGTTCCACCGACTGGGAATGTGACTGTGACTGTTGCTGTTGCGACTGTGGCTGCTGCTGCGCCGGCTGCTGCTGTTGTTGCTGTGGTTGCTGCTGCTGTTGCTGCTGCTGCTGGACACTACCGGCGACTGGGACCGGCGGCACCGGCGGCGGGGGAGGAGGATTCGTAGTAGGATTACCGCTAGCAGGTGGAGCCGCGCCTAAGGACGGATTAGCGAGGCTCCTTAGGCGCGCCGAGTAAAAATCCAGGTTCGCTTCGAGTGGTGGCGGGTGTGCCTGGCCGGCGAGGCCGCGGCCGTGCGAGAGCTCGGCCAGATTCGCCAGGTTCCGGGCGTTGTTCAGGGAGTCCAGCGAGCTGCGTACCAGCGGATCTCCCAAATTCAAGCCGTCCATACCGCGAAGCGGGTCGCCCAGGTTCTGCAGGTTCCTCGTGGCGGTCTGCAGCTCCTGGAGGCCCCTGTACCCCGCCAAGGGATTCAGGGTGAGGAAATCAGGCCTGAACATAGGCGGGAAACTTCGCTCGAGGTGTTGCGGTAGCCTGAGGAAACTGTGGAGAGGATCGCCCACCAGGGAAGCCGAGGTCTGCAGCTGCTGCCGACTGCCGCTACTCCCGCTGGTGTTGGTGCCACCCGATGAGTTCGCCGCCGAGGAGCTTCCGGTGGACTTGCCGCTCAGGTTCAGGTGATTCGGCGGGCTGAGGTGGTGCGCGTGCGTCGGCGTAGGCGTCGGTGGACTCGGCGCCGGGGTGTTCGACGAGGAGTTCGTCGACGAGGAGGAGGAGCAGTAGAGGCGGGCGCCGTGCATGCTTTGTACATGCTGGAGGAGCTCCCACGCCGAGCACAACCGCCGAGAACACTGCGAGCACTGCAGCCACCTTGGCTCTGAAACAGACACACCGACGTCGCGGCGGTTAAGGGTCGTAGTCGTCACATCGTTGCGCTCGAAAGATTCGCTTTTGGCATTCGGAAGACTCTCAGCCTCCTCGATTCTGTCTAATTTCCGGGCTCGTAGGAGCTTTTTTAGTCGATTACGTTTTTCACGCGTGACCGTCAGCTTAATTCCTCAAATTTGCCTGACTGCCAAATTTCTGAAGAGTTAACGCTGCGTTAGAAACGATATCGTTAAGTTCCGCGCGGCTTCCTTCCGCAGTACGTTATTAGCGATATGTGTGGGAAAATCTCGCGAAGCCGTTGTAATGAGCACAATGAGCGAGCGCGAGCAAGACCGAGCGAAAGCAGCGGAGCTGCGAGCGAGGTCAGCTTAGCGAGGAATTTAAAAAAGAAAGAGAGCGACAGACTTTTGTCCAACCAATCGATGAGAGACATTTTCAATTAGGAAGAAGCTTCTCGGATCGCCCTGGCACGTCCGATTTGTCCTGAGCTTACGATCGCGTTCCCTACGAGTTCGAAAATACACAGACGACCACCCAGTAGTAGTAAAGTTAAATGTATGTGTTGAAATGATTTTCACTTCCACCAGCTCAATAATCACCTTTTGTCCCTTGCAGAAGACTGTATATCATTGTACAAATATTACGGGCATGAAAATTTACTTTAGGGGAAGAAAAAGAGAGAGACAGAAGGGCTTCGACAGGATCGCACTATAATTCGAAGGATCACAGTCGCGAATAAGATGATTATAAGACTCCGGTTATATCGTAATAACCCGACGACAGGATTTTAGGCTTCCCGGTGGTTTCACGAGCTTACGACGGCAGCTCGTAAAATGCTCGCTCATGTGTATGTGTGTGCGCGCGCGCGCCTGCATGCCCCCGAGTCCCGCTATCAATTTTCGAACCACCCTTAATTTCGCGGAATCGGGACGGAGATCGGCCCCGGCCGATTGAATTCGGAATTCAAACGGCGCGTCTGTGTCAAATTGCGCCTCGGGCCGGCGTTGCGGGGGCTTAAAAATAATATCCTCGTGAACGACGGTCGACGGTGCGCGGAGAGGAGGGAGGGGGGAGGGGTCGGTTCACCACGGCATGCGGCTGAAACTGACCCTTAACGACTTCTCGACCCTCCTACCCTATGGCGCGCGCGAGAGAGCTTATGACACGGGAGGGACGGGTTTTGAATTTCAATGTTTTTAATCCGGAATATCAGATTTTCGGCCATTTTTCACGCCCCACGTAGCGCGGCTCCGCAGACGTCCGACTTCTTCCGGGGCGGCTACGTGGGATTTTATTAATTCGGCGTCGCCCCATCCCGGCGAGAATGAGAGGAGCCGAATCGAAAGCGGGAAAGGACGGAAAGCGGAGGATGCAAGCGCGCCATGTGCTTAAGAACGACCCTCACTTCGCGGGTGGAAACACCGCGAGACATCACGCGGCGAGCATATTCGCCCGCGTCTCACGCCGGACGTTCGAGGAGAAGGGCGGCTTGAATTTATGTCCCGACAGATACCGCACGGGGTCTCTTGAGACGTCGATTAATCATTTTTTGTGAAATTATATATATATTTTTTTTTCTTTTTATTTTAATCACGCAATATACACGCACGCCACACGATTACGTGGTCATAGTTAAGCAGGAAGAATCCAACCCACGAAATTATTAGAAAGTAGAATAGGCCAGTGGAAGCCAAGTACGATTGTTAAGTGCGAATATATATTTTAATTGCTGGAACGTCGGCGCGTGCTTTATGACACTGTGAAACGTATGTTTACCCTCCTAAATTAAAATACATATTCGCACTTAACAAGCATACTTAGTTCTTGACCCATTCTAATTTCTAACAGTTGATCCTGTTACCAATGGGTAGTCTTTCTGCATAAAACGGAAAATCCAAGCCTTTAATGGGCGCCTGAAATTAATTAAAAACAGTGTTTACTTTCTACTAGTGATAACAGTGACTAGAATAACCCAACGCTACATTTTGCGATCGATTGTGCACACGCACACTACGAAAATCTTTTATTATACGAAAATCCTCAGTCGTTCTCTTTTACCGGAAAAATTTCGTGCCGAGGTCGAAATTTGTTTAATCCCGCTCCGAATGAAAGATACACTTTTGACGCGGGTGCAATCTTCTTTGATTAATACAAGACACGCGCGTATCGGTTGCCCTAGTGTTAAAGAAACTTGCCAACTACGAAAGAGCCCTCGGCCCGCCGTGGATTCCTTTCTCCTTCAATTCGGCAGGACCGGACTCGGCGAGTTCGTGAACACGAGCGTGCCGCAGTCGGATGAATAAATACGCTCGCAGCGTTGTTCGGGAAGAAACTTCTTAGACGAGATAAATATGAGCGCGCTGTAGCGGGCAGGGGTGCTTCCTCTTGTAAGAGATTAAAAAGTTCCGAGTCTCGGTCTCCTCTACTCGTCGTACCTTACTGTCTCGCGGTACTACGGCGACGGGAAGGAAAGTCAGCCGGAGACAAAAGGCTGCAGCAAAATAAAGTGGTCCTAATTAAATGGCCGTTCGCGATAGGGAGAGATCTTTGTTAGCGGCTTGGGATCGCCTTAAAGCCGAACAATCGCCGGATTGCGGCGTATTTTTAGCGACACAGGCTGGAGCTTGAAGAAACATCATTCTCTCGGCGATCGAAGGGAATTATTTTATTTATCCTATTATTTCTTTTTATCTTCTCCAAGTGTAGTTTGTTTTATTTATAAAGGATACCCATTTATAGTAATTTTTCTGCTAGATTTCGACATACGAAATATGTGTAATATCAATTAGAGATTTTGATTTCTTTTTTTATAGTTTTTTTTTTTTGATATATTTATTTTTCTATAGTATAAATGTAACAAGAATAATAATTTTGTAGGGTATGGCCGGTGAAAATGCATAAAGAGATATAAGCTAGCTTCGTATAAATATAGTCCAATGAAATAATACGGATAATACGGATAATAAATCGCATAATAATAATAATATGCGAATGTGACAAGTATTTTCGGCAGCTTTTACGAGTTACTTCCTCGTTTCCTCGTGCAATCTTCACGTAACGGCGTCGACGCGAGATTACTCAGGGCAATTCGTAGAAACGCGAGGCTTCGAGAGATCGCCCGATGACGAGCAGGATGTGAAGACAATGAATCCTAAATAAAATTAGGAACAACCCGACGCCGTCAGCGGGTAAATGATAGTTTATCCCGCGACAATACACAATAGAACACATTTCGTTGTATGTAACAAGGTGCTAAGTAGAATAACGAGCCCGACAGTGGGCGAGGGACTTTTCTTTCGCCGTTCTTGCTGACCTTTCACCAGGATTACGCTCGCAGCGTTCGTGCGTCGTGCGCGGAACGAGCGACGATCGTCGCGATCTCATCCCATTGACGCGCGCGATTTTTCGATTGTCGGAAAGAGCGAGGAGAAAGTCGACGAACAAGGCGGAAAGATCGCCGAGGAATAAGCGAGAGAGATCCGCGCGGACTTCGCGACGCGACGTTCTAAAATAGTCGAAAAGTTACGCGAACTTAAACCGCGCGGCGAAATTCGGGCGTCGAGTCGTCGGGATTTTCCGAAATCTCTCCGCTCCTCCCCTTAAAATCGATCTTTCACAGCGCCTCTGTAATTCTCGGCGTTACAAGCTAAATCGAAAACCCAAACGACCAGCGGCGTTCACGCGGCAACGCGGAGGAATCGGGCGGCTCGCACGGGAAAGTTTCGAAATTTTCCCGAGTCATCCGGATCCTTCGAAAGGACGGGCGAGAAGCAGAAATTGGCCCGGGGTCTCGGCGCCGGGTAGAAAAATTAGAGAGTGAGAAAGAGAGCAGCGGTTGAATCATCCCCGAGACGAGCAACCCGAGTGGCGGAGCGCGAAAACGCGGCATATTGTTTCACGCTTCGGGCGTTAACCGCCTGGTCGCAGCCTCTTCGCGCCCTCGTCCCTTTCTCCGGCCGGCTCCTTTTTTCCCCCGGAAGTCGAAAATATTGCCGACTTCCCCGGGGAGAGAATGCCGACGGGACGGCGCGAAGAGATAACCAAGTGCTCGAGCATAATAAAGGTGTATCGATTCACGAGCGGGCGCCTTTCATATGCAAACCTCGCGGGTGGCCATCCGTTAGGATTATTTCTTCAGATTTCCCTGGCCGTGTCTATGGGAAATGGCTGGCTGGCCGGCTGGAACTTGGGAAACGCGAGCGTACGTTATCGTTCCCGCTACGGCTCCATCACTGGATAAATGGGGAATTCAATACACGTAGTGTGCGATCGCGCGCTTCCGACGACGTCGTGAAATCACTCGACGGGCTGATTTCTGAATCGTCCTAAATCGATTTAAAAAAATGAGGATTATGTTAAAACTCCGCGGAAAAATTGTTTTCAGTCCATATAGAGGAAGTGCCGGTAATATAGAATAGTCGGTAATATACCGGGTAATACTACGATATTTGGCTTACTAAGGTTTTTCATCTTCTGGTTAACTTGTGGTTAGAGCTTAAACTGATGACAACGCAAAAGTTGCGTTTTTCTATTCACGGTTAATAATTAAACTGATGGTTATGTAGCGGTAACTTTTAAAATTTCATGATCAACTAGGAATGTAAAAATATTATTTTTACGTTATCATCAGATTATAAACCACGTGTTAATCAGAAGATGAAAAACTAGACTTAAGTGTCGCAAGCCAGCGGATAACAATGGAATTATTATTAACTTTCCTAACTTAACGTACAAAGTGGCGATTTAATACGAGGTCTCGTGTAGTTAGTGTGTGCAATTTTAAATTTTCTGTGTATCACTACTTGCGCAAAGTGAGTTTATAAACTTTTATTTTACAGTCAATCTATCTCACACATACACACATACACACATGTATACATTTTTAGTCGCTTTTACAAGTAAAACTAAGACAGAGCTTTAGTCTAGTCTATTTAGTAAGTAAGTAAGTAAACACCTCTTGCATATCTGAAGAATGAAAATTATCCAAGG